TTTGAAAATTATTGAAAAAATTGAAGGAAAAATTATTGGAAGAGGTAAGAGAATAGAATGTGAAGAATTAAAATAAAATGAAGTAAGATAGTATGAAATAGTGAAAATTATGTGAGAAATCGTGTAGGAATGACTTAGGTATTTATAGAAAAAAATGGAAATTTTTTCTTTTCTTTTTTTTTTTTAAATTTTGTCCAAAAAAAAAAATTCAAATCCAACGGTCACCTCTTGCTAGCTGACGTCATGCTAATGCTAGAAAGCCTTTGTGGTTCAAAAAATGGACCGGCCCGGGGCAAGTTGCCTGGCTCCTTTGGACCAGCCGGTTAGCCTGATTTGGTGTTTTTGGCCTAATGGGGCACCCATGAGTGCTTTGGCCTAGTCCTCGATTGAAGACAATTTTTGTGTCATTTCGGATTATTTTTAGCCCTATAATTATCTGACCAGATCAGTTGAAAATGACCTTAGCATCTTGTCCAATCTCATGAAATTCACCTCGTTATCATTAATGAGCCATCACATCTTCATCCATGATGAATTCGTCCTTAGCCTACCAAGTACACGCCACGTGTCGAGTATGCGTGTATGACACCCAATCCAAGTACATTAGCTGGTGGACCAATGTGTCGGGCGAATAGGAGCCGACCAAAATAGGCAAAAAGCGAAAATCTCAGCCCCTGTGGGTTCCACATGGTCCGTCAGTCATCCGTTGGGTTTGGTGGTTGAATCTCCTGGTAGGAGCATATTTATGCGACTTAGTTGGCTTGTTCTTGTGCATTTATGTCGTGTTTCCTTAGTTATTTTAATGTTTAAAGTCATTTTCGTGTGTTTTCATACTCTAAGTACAAAGTATGCAAGAAGATGCATTTTGGAGGCCTTTGGAGCATGTTTCGGGCTTGGAATGGATAGCAAATGCATGGGCCAAGTGGATGGACGAATTTGAGAACTAAAGAGGCCAAGAATATGAAGAATTATGGTCCAAAAGATGAAGAAAACAGCCCAAAAATCTGTCACCCTAACTTGCATTCCTTGCCATGCAAACCACATAGAATTCCCTTTGGATTCCATGCCAAGCTTGATCACTCTTGTCCCCTACATAATTTCTAATTTCATGCTTCAATTCATTTAATTATTACACTCAATTGCTTGATACCTCTTGTTCCCTTCACTCATTAGATTTTAGACAACATTTACATCCATTACATGCACCAATTGATGCTCCATCATTCACATTTGGAATCCCATGCCTTGTGTACCACATGTTGCTGCACCTTTGACCCATTTATTGACACATTTTCACCTCCCTTTCCATCTCTATGCAATGCACACAATCATTCATGCTCCCTAGCTTCAAGACCACTCCATTTTACCCTTCACACTTTGCATCATCACTTCATTTTCACCCTTGGACCATTGCACACCACACACACAAATTGCCATGCATTTCATCCTTAACCTAACCTGATTTTCTAAGGTTTTTGGGGCCTATAAATACATGTTTACACCCCTTGGCCAAAGGACATTCCCCCATATTCATCATTTTATCACAAAAATTCGTCCATACACACCCTAGGAAGCAAAACACCCCAAAAACACCATTCTAGTGCCTAGAAAACATAACAGCCACTCCACCTTCTTCCACCCTCTTTGCCCAGTTCTCCACCACCCTCCAACCATCAAACACTCCTCCACACTCACCCTAAACCCTTCCATACCATTCCCCATCCATTCTACATCATAAAACTACCCAAAATCTGTCCATAACCCAATTTGCCGCAAGCATAGGGAAAGGAGGAATCTTGGATGCACTTGCTACCAAGTTGGAGCATTTTAGGTGTTTTCTTTCCTTTGATTTTAATGTCTAATTTTATATATCTTTGCTTTGTGAGTATAAGGAACTAAACCCCTCTTAGTTAGGGGGTGATTCGAAACTATGTTCATACTTGCAATATGATTTGATTACATCCAGTTGTGATTCATAAGTTGTGAATTCAATTTACTTATCCGTTCATATAAAAACTAATTTGTGTATGTTGGTTAAGAGTGCACGCTTAATTTTCATGCATGAATTTGACGCTAGAATATAAGGGAGTTTCACCTAATCGTTATAAACTTATATTCACAAGTAGTGAAGGTTGCTAGTCACAATCACGTTAAGTAAACTCTTGGCATAAGTTTCATGCAAATCATAGTAACGAGTGCCTCGTCAATGCTTATGTTTTTCATAGAACTTAATGATTCTTGCTTGTATCTCTATTATGCAATTCATGTAGGGAACTTGTAGGGAATGTTTTGGGTTGTCGTATGCAATCATCCAACCTAATAACTTGTGGAAAAAACTGAGGGTTAATTAGTGCAATTCACGGTTAATTTGGGGCGTTGAGTATTCATAGCTTATCGAAAAGCAACTGGAAATCGTTTTGTATGCAAGTGTGACATATGTGGAGAAGAACCTCCTAGCTAATCTTCCATCCATAAGTTTCATTCAAATTCACTTACAATTTGTTTTGTTTTACAAAGTTTGTTTTGTTTTCAAATTCATTAAAATCAAAATCCCCCTTTTACTTTATTGTTTCAAAGTGTTTAATTTCTGTTTTGGTTGTGTGTTAGAGTGTTTTGATTCACCCAAATTTGTCTAAGAATTTGTTTACTTTGTTCTTGTCTTAATTTAATTATTTTCGTCAAAAATCAACCCCATCTTATTTCTTTGAGTCATATTAATTAGAACTTGTCTTAGATTATGTTTTTAAGTGTTTTAGTTCATTAGAAAACCAAAATTTGTCCAAGTTTGTGTGAGAGTCCCAAAATTGCCCAGATTGTGTTTTTAAGGTAGTTTTGAGTGTTTATGGGCTGTTTTGAGTCTTTTGATTTGTTTTAGTGTTTTAAAGTATAGTTTTGCATTCTTTGAGTCTAGTTAGTGTTTTAAACTTTGTTTTTATGTTTTCAAGTCAGTTTCCAAGTGATTTAGCAATCCCTCCTAATCCCCGGCCTAGAACGATCCCTACTTACATACTTTACTACAATTGATAAAAAGAGGGTTTAATTTTGTGTGTTAACTTATTTTTCACATCATCTCCCTAACCGCCCCACGTGTTGAAATCCAAACACATCTAAATTTGTGACCACATACCACTCTATCCGTCTTTTTTTCATGGGCCTTGTTACCTTCTGTTTCATGCATGTAACTGTTTTCCTAATTTACTTTTATTAATTTTTTTAGTTTCTGCGTTTTTGTCCACCCAACACAAAATGAACTGCACCGACCCAAAAAATTGATGTGGAAGACGTGGGAGAAAGTAAGAGAGACCATCTGGAATATTTTTTTTTTAATAATGCTAAAAATATTAAATTTATAGATAAAATTTTGACAACTATATGATATAAAAATTGATGATTAGTTTATTATTTAAGCATTGGTAAATGTGTTTATTTAGTTTACCAACTTCTACTGTGACACATTATTTAGTTTGTAAATTTAATCTTCAAATTTAGTCTTCCTAGCATTATATTTTGTTTTAACAACGCCTAACTCCTCAAGAATAAATAGGCATTTTTACTCAAAAATTTTCATGTACGAATCACTAAGTTTTGTGATCATCTTTGAAAAAATTAATGAATACTAAGGTTATTTAGTCAATCTATTATAGCAAAATACATAGATGATTCGTAATACTTTTCCAATTTCGTTTTTCTATATTTACACAGTTCAATGACTAATAGTTCTTAGTTTTAATTGATTTTTTGCAGAAACAACCTTTATATTATATGAACATTGTCTAATCATAAATACAAAATTTTATGAATCAACAACAAATAATTTTGAGTAAGAACCTTCATCTATTTTTTGAGTATCCAAGTATTATTCATATTATTTTTTTCTAATTCCAAGTTAAACAACAATTAGTGGAGGCATAGTATTTATGCCCACATAGATTGTAAGGTTTTTCTTATTTTTATTTTCTTTATGAGGTAAGAGATAACTATTATAATTTGGAGAAATAATGCCCAATTATATTCTCAAAGAATAATTGAAGGGATGCGTTTTCATTTGGAATTGGCATTTAAATCCCAAGGCAAGATGACGTGCATAATTTCTGCAATTTGCATATAATTGAAGGGATATGCTAATGTTGCTCATATGTGAATTAGAAAGAGGTGAAATGCAACACCACGAAAGAAAGAAGTGGAATTTGTGGAATCGATCCCTTGTAAAATATTCAAAATCAAACACCCTATATTTATCTACTACTATCGTATGTCATCACACTTTATGTGTGAACATTTTTTTTTTTAGAAAAAAAATAGGAAAGAGAGATTGAGAGAACCACTGGAAGTGGGAGTAGGAAGAGAGGTTTTTTTTTTCTTTCAATTTTTTAGAATTTGATACATGATAAAATCACTTGCACGTGTGTTTAAATAAAAAATAATAAAATTTTGTTTTATGAATATACGTTACTGTTTTTTTTATTTATTTATTTATTTTTTATGATAGAAGACAAAATAGTCTTTTCATATTCTTTTGATCGATCAAGAAGATTATATAATAGTAGATAGTTTAGATTATTGTTCGTTTATTTGTCAACTATAGAGGAGAGAGATGGAGAGATGAGCACTTAAATGTGTTACTTTTTTTTTTAGGAAAACTAATGAAAAGGGTTTGAAAATTTTGAGTTTTAATGATAAGGACAAAATAAAGGGTAAAGTGAATAGTACCAGGTTTGACTTTTTAGTGTAAAAATATGGTTTTTCGTTAAAGTGAACAGTACCGTGGGCTTTTCGTTAAAACTTCCTTTTTTTTTTTATTTAACAAAATGTGGTAGACTTTTTTCAAAGCAAAAACTAGTTGTTTTCATCTTAGTCAGAAAATTTTAAAGAATAAATAGTTGAAAAATGAAAACTTTCTTATCCCTCCCTCTCATGTTTTGGGAAGGGCCCAAAAAAATCACGTCTTGAAAACGAAAGCCAGCAAAAAACATGCCTAATTATTCGGCGTTTAAGCATATAACAGAGCGAGCCAGAACCCAGAAGAGAAAACCCGTTCCCCACCATAAAACAGAGCGAGCCAGAAAAAAGCTAAAGCAGAAATAAGAAGCACTTTTGGCAAAAGCACTTTGAACTCGCGTGAGTCACGAGAGTCCTATCGGGGGGAAGAAGAAAAGCAGGCTCACAAGAAAGAGAGGAGAGGTGGGGAAATCGAGAAGAAAAGTGGAAGTGGGAGTGGTGGTGGGCAGGTGGTGGACGGTTCAAATATAATGAAGTTGGTTGGGAACGAGGAGGTGTTTAGTAACTTTGTGGAGCATAAGTTTGAGGAGCTCGACAGGGACAGAGACGGCCACCTCTCTCTGAACGAGCTCCACCCTGCTGTCGCCAATATCGGCCTTGCTCTTGGCTTGCCGGCTCAGGGTTCGTCCCCCGACTCCGATCACATATATTCTGAGGTACTAAGTTTTTCCTCTTCCCTATTCTCTTCCACGTGTTGAAAGATATCGTGTTCTGTCGCCGATTATCAATTGGTTTTGAGTTGGATGCGTGACACCTAATGTGGCGTGTTAGATTGTTGCACGTATTATCCTCAATAGAAGTCCATTTGGTTTAAGAAAAATGATTTTCGCTCCATTTTTTTTCTGCAATTTGTAATTAAGATGTGCAGAAATCATTTTTCTTAAAAAGATTTGGTTTTCTCGACTGATTCCCTGTCGACTTTGTGTTAATAATTCTAATTCTAACATATTATATGCTAATCGTTCTCCCACGTTGCAACGCACAGCGATCATCTATTAATTGTATTCACTACCATTTTTCTTTTCTTTATTTGCTTGTAAATATATAAGTAATGTTTTATTGTCAAACACATTTGTACTCCAACATGGCTAACTGTTTTCTTATCAAATTAGTGGCTTTTGGAAGAAGTGCTTCTTGCAAACAATAACTTCACGTTCTTTTTCAGAATTCACTTGGATTTTTTTCAAAAATTAGTTTAGGAACATTTTCACAAAAAATACTTTCGGTTATTTAAAAAGCAATTTCAAACGAGCTAGGTTGGGAAACTTGTAATTAACAGGTAAGGCTACTCGTTAAAAATGGTTCAAATTCACAATCTGACTACACAATATGAAACGCTGTGATTAATTATGTAGAAATGTTGTTTATGGAACAATACTTGACAAAATTGTAATTGCAATACCATTTTCTTGGATTTTGTGTTGAATTGCTGTATAATTATGTTGGTGTTGATTATTGATTGAATGATGTTCTCTGCGATTTTGTGCTGAATTAAACAGATAATAGTTAATTCTTGGCAGGATTGCCTTCCGTATTGTCTAGTGGCTCTAATATTTACTAATCGTTTTTTATGGCCAGGCTATTCTCTACTAATCTACTAAATTTTCAAATCAAATTTAGACTTCTAATATGGAAAGCTGCAATCTTAATAAGATAAAAATGCTACGTATGATCTTGACTTTCGAGCTTTGATTGCGTGGTTTTGGTATTATCAAACTTGTTGCGTCTATTTTTAATGTTTAAAATAGGAGATTGTTGTTCTTTGCTTTGTTTGGTCTATTTGTATACTGGGATTTCCATTTCTAGATAACCCCAGAAGAATCCAACCGATGACCTAGCATTGTTGGTCTTATTATATGACCTTACTCTTCAGTTCGAAATGCCTTTCCTACTTTTTTTTTTTTTTTATGCTTAGAAAATTCTTTTCCTTTTATCTTCTTATGCTAAGAGGGATCTAGTGACGAACTATGTCGAAACTTAATATTATTCAAGAAGATTTAGCATGACGAAAGCCGTAATATTATGCCATAAGGTTGTATGATGGGGCCGGTGCCTGCCTAAATTTCCCTAAGGCAGTGGTTTTGTGGGGAAGGGAGTAGAAGTCAAAAAGCTTTCTTTGAGGGGCTTGCTTTTGAACAAAGTAACAACCTTACCTAATCATCTCATAATGTTGCTGCACTTTATATTAGTACAAGTACATGACATCTTACTAAAGTAATGCCACCGCTGTTAAGCGCGCGGAATAATTGAGGAATCGGAATAATTCTAAAGCCAATACAATGTTACATTATGAAGAAGCTTTCGGTTAAAGTAATAGTTAACATCTTAGGGTTGGCAAGTATAGATCAGATTGGAAATAAACTTTTGAGAGTATTATCCTACTTTGGAAATTGAGAGTATGCCTCTACACGGTTGGTCCAATGGTCACAGGTGCTCTCATGTCCACGTGTTTGACTTGAGTGATGTCCATACTAGAAAACTCATTAGTAGATTGTATACATGTACTGAGCAAAACCACTTAAACCAGATTTCTTAGGACAACCTTAACTGTTTTGTTCCAATGTTCTTAGGTACTGAATGAATTCACTCATGGGAAGCAACAAAAAGTGAGCAAGACTGAGTTCAAAGAGGTTCTTTCGGATATTCTGCTAGGCATGGCTGCTGGGTTGAAGCGAGACCCTATTGTAATCCTCCGTATTGATGGCGAAGACCTCCTAGAATTCATCGATGGGCCAACTTTTGAATCAGAGATGGTGGCTACTTATTCTGAGATAAAGTCAGCTGATGGAACCCTCCGTGACTGTATAATCAAAGCTTTGGAAAAACTCACGGTTGAACAAGGGATGCCCCCTTCATCAGATTCTTGGGTAGTTGGCCTTCTCTAATTAAGATTTTTCAGTACTAGCAGTTCGTCGTACAAATTTACATGTTGCATTGAACATTTTCATTCTTGACGGCTTTTTTTCCCTCCTTTTCTCTTTGTTGGTTACTTTCGTTCTTAGGTTGTGAGCAACATTGTGGAACCTGCTCTGCAATCATGCACTGGCCATGATTTGGACAAGCCGGTCTCTCAAGAAACATTCTTAACAGAATTCAAGAAAGTAGCAGAGTCTGTGGCTCATCGTCTTCAGGAGCAGCCTGTGATTGTAGCTCACAGTGAAAATGACTTTGATGGAAGCGACATCAAGAGACTGTTGTCCAACAAGTTTGAATTAGACAAGGTTTGCCTCGTAAAAATCCCTTGTCTTTTTGTCTCTGACCAATTATACTCATAAATGTTGTTGGAATCTTTCCTCTTAAGTATGTCCTAGTTCGCTTACAGTGCCCTGACTCACTGGGATTGCTTATTACAATCTGTTGTAAAATGCAGACACTGAATGCAGCTACTGAAACAATTCCGAGAGACAGCAGTGGGAAATTATCGAAGGAATATTTGCGTGTGGCGCTGGAAGCAGTAGGTCCAACAGCTGGTCTGCCACCACTTGGTGCAGTTGAGCAGGTTCTCTTTAAATAGCGTACCCATCTTTATATTCGATTTTAAACTCAGACAGCTTCTACCTTCAGCGCTTCCCCAACTTGATCGTTTATACTTTCAGCAGATGTTCATAAATTTCTTACAATGAAAATCTGCAGATGGATAAGGTTGTGCAGGATGTGTTCAACATGGTTAACGCAGATGATGGAAAGCTGCTTAAAGAAGACGAGTTTAAGAAGTTACTGACTGAAATCCTGGGGAGTATCATGTTGCAATTGGAGGGAAATCTGATTTCAGTTCACTCAAATTCGGTTGTCCACGAGCCCCTCACCTCTTCTTCGACTCTACTGCAGCCAGCTCCCGAGTTATAGATCACAGCTCTCGTGGATATATCAAGCGTAACAACGATAAAAGCGGCTATAAAATTTTGATTAAGAAATGGTTACTACTACAAGATCTGGGTTTCTTGGTTATTGTAATCACGTTAGTGAAATGCTCTTAATGTGCATATTTAGTTAAGAGACGGAGCCAACGTTTGTCAATGTCCACTATTATATATGTTGCTACTGATTTCTGATGTTTGAATACATTTAAGGGTTTGAACTAATCAGTGAAATTGGTACCAAAGCAAATGGAACCAGAAATTGCCAGGGCGTTCATGCAATGACTTTCTAGGATTCATAAAACTGACCTCATTAAATGGGATAATGATTTGTTGTTGTTTTTTTTAGTACATCGATATTTTTACACTAGAGGGAGGGGGAGTTTGGCTAAGCCACACAATGGGCAACCTAATGTGGTATCGAATTCATCATCTACGAGATTTGAACATAAGATCTTACACTTCCAAATTAAGAGGTATACCACCAAACCGTAATACTGAATGTCAGTGCTTTGTTGCTGTTGTTGGTATATAGAAATGAAAGATCAACTTATTGTGCATACATGTACTCTCCTAGTGTGTATTTTATCCCCCTACTTGACTGCTGGTACTTTTAATTTCAAAAATAGGATTTATCTTAGAAATGACAAACCTTGCATATATTTATTTACACTATCTTTTTTCATTTGAACATTTACACTATGTTCTTACTTTGTTGTATTGTTGTAGTTTTATATAAAAAGTTCAAAAACTGGTTATGTTGTTATTGAGAATAATTGGATGTTGTAAAGTAAAACAGTTAAGCATTTAGAAAATTGTAATTTTAAAAATGTCGTGTGTGAAAAAAAGAAATGTCACATCGCTTTGTAATTGTTTATATTTGTAAACCTGTTTAGATGATAAAGAAGAGACTGAACGCTTTGGTATGAACGCTTTGGTGCTTTGGTGTCTACTTATGTAAACCTATCTAGATGATAAAAAGGAGAATGAAGGCTTTGGTGTTTATATATGTAAACCTATGTAGTGTTGAATATTTTCAATATATATATATATATATATATATATATATATAAAATAATATATAATAATATATTATTTATATAATATATATATAGGCATATGTATATGCGTGCGTTTACCAGAAGATACTTGGGCTCTTTGCCCAATAATTACATCCTTTCAAGAAAAGCCATGCAGCTTTTCATTTATTCTAACAGACATACCCATTGACCGGGTATTCAACCGCATGTTTTAAAATATATATGACCTTTGAATAATTGGTGTTTGTATCAGATATATCCATTGGACATAATGCTGTAACGTGTTGTATCCCATGGTGAAAATACATACTCAAATCAAAGGATGTGTCTAAAGAGTGTAATTCTCTCTATATATAGTGGTAACATTAGTAGAAAATAATCATTTCAGAAATTTGTTGTCTACATAATTTCTTTGCTCTCTTTTCTCTCTTCATCACATTCATACAATTTCTTTCTAGTTATTTCTAAGGGAATATAATTCGGTTTTGCTAATCGAATATTCCATACTTTGTTGTATCCTGTAAGTGATTTGCCAAGAACCCTTTAGTAAACTCATTCGAGTGGGGGCAAATAACACTTTAAGGAAACGATTCAAGTCGTACCTCAAAGTCATTATTCGGATTATTCTCCATAATTCTACATTTAATCTTACAATCTTAAAGTGTTATTTTCGTTATGGATAACAAATCTGATAACATGGCTTTAAAGATTATCAATCAAGATGTCTACAAGTTAGACAAATTTGATGGATCAAATTTCACCCGATGGAAGGACAAGATGCGTTTCATGTTTACTGTTCTAAATGTCATATATGTGTTGGACCCGAAATTGGAGCCTATTCGTGAACCAAGTGACAAAGACTCGGACAATATAGTTGCCGATCGAAAGAAGCGTGAAGAAGATGAATTGGTATGTCGAGGACACATATTGGGCACATTATCTGATCGTTTATATGACCTGTATGCACACATTCAATCTCCAAAGGAAATTTGGGAAGCACTTGAACACAAGTACACAACGGAAAAAAGAGGTACCGATAAATTTTTAATGTTCAAATATTATGAATTCACTATATTTGATAACAAACTCATCCTAGACCAAGTTCATGAATTATTGGTCTTGGTCTCAAAGCTTCGTGAACTTAAAATAGTTATTCCGGATCCTATGATAGTTGGGGCTATTATGGCAAAATTACCCCAAACATGGAATAATTATAGAAAGAAACTTCTACACATGGTGGAAGATATTAGTTTAGAGAATTTGCAAAAGGGTATTCAAATTGAAGAGGAAACTCGAAATCGTGATAAGAATTTTGCAAATCAAGATTTCTCTAAAGTTCACATTGTCGAAGGAAACAAATATAAAAAGAACTTCAAAGTCAAAATTGACAAAGGGAAGTTTAAGAAGACCAATTCCAACAACAATCAAAAGAATGCAAATGGTGTATGCTACCATTGTGGAAAGAAAGGCCATTACATTCGTGATTGTAGACACAGAAAAGCAAGTGAGGAATATGCCAATAAGACCAATAGCGCAAATATGGTGGAAAACTCTGGAATTGATAACATTGTTGCAATGGTATCAATGATGCATATTGGCATGATTACCGAACTGAATATGGCAGCGGTAATAAAATCCTCCGATTGGTGGCTGGACTCAGGGGCTACTATACATGTGTGCAATGACAAGGCACAATTCAAGACATATGAAGCATCAACGGACAATCAAGAAGTTTTAATGGGGAATCATAATTCCGCCAAAGTTCTAGGAAAGGGAACCGTTGAACTTCAATTTACTTCTGGGAAGAAATTGACGTTGCTTAATGTTCTCCATGTTCCAGAAATTAGAAAGAATCTTGTCTGCAAATTTATTATGTAAGAACGGTATAAAAACTGTTCTAGAATCTGACAAGTTAATAATGTCGAAAAATGGGATGTTTGTTGGGAAGGGGTATTCTTGTGATGGGATGTTCAAACTAAGTATTAATAATAAAGTGAATTTTTCTGCTTATATTGTTGAGTCTTCCTCTCATTTATGGCATTTACGTTTAGCACATATAAATTTTAGATCTTTAAAATACATGCGCACACTTGGTTTTATTGCTTGCAATGATGATTATAATGATAAATGTGAAACATGTATTCAAGCGAAAATGACTAAGAAACCTTTTCCAACTACCGAAAGAAATACAAATTTATTAGACTTAATACATTCTGACATATGTGAATTTAATGGTGTTTTAACAAGAGGAGGAAAAAGATATTTTATCACATTTATAGATGATTGTTCTAAATTTACTTATGTTTATTTATTGTCTAATAAAGATGAAGCTTTTGAGTGTTTTAAGCGCTATAAGGCTGAAGTTGAAAACCAAAAGGGAAGGAAAATTAAATGCCTTCGTAGTGATAGAGGTGGTGAATATTTTTTACATGAATTTGATATTTTTTGTGAAGAGCATGGTGTTGTACATCAAAGAACTGCACTCTATACATCACAACAAAATGGTTTGGCAGAAAGAAAAAATAAAACACTCACTGAAATGATTAATTCTATGATGATTAATGCTAATACTCCAAAATATTTATGGGGTGAAGCATTGTTTACTGCATGCCATATACACAATAGTATTACATCTATGAAGACATATGTGTCACCATATGAAATTTGGAAGGGAAGAAAACCAAATTTATCATATTTGAGAGTATGGGGTTGTGTAGCTTTTTATAAGGCACTCGATCCTAAGAGATCCAAGTTGGGTCCAAGAGGAATTAAAAGCATATTTGTAGGATATGCAGAAAATTCAAAGGCATATAGGTTGCTTAATTTAGACTTGAACACAATAGTTGAGTCTAGAGATGTCGAATTTATAGAAAATAAATTCTATAATGACTACTCAGTGTCTGAAAAAGAGAATGATCAAACACATTTCTCTAATCCGTCTACTAGTCAATCTCAAGGTGAGAAAAGAAAACAGTCTGAAACTGTTAATGAACCAAGGAAAAGCCAAAGGGTAAGAAAAGAAAAGACTCTAGGCTCTGATTTTATGTCATCTCAATCTATTGTATTTTTAGTCGAAGGAAATAGAACAAAGGTTCTTAAGAAAATACCCATATTGTTGAATGTTGAGGATGATCCTAAAAGTCTAAGCGAAGCATTGACTTCAAGAGATGCAGCCTTTTAGAAAGAGGCTATAGATGATGAATTTGAATCATTAATATCTAATCAGACATGGGTTTTAGTAGACTTGCCCCAAGGATCAAAAGCAATAGGTTGTAAGTGGGTATTTAGAAGAAAATACAATACAAACGGGTCTATTCAGACATTTAAAGCCAGGCTAGTTGCCAAAGGTTTTAAGCAGAAAAAAGGAGTAGACTATTTTGATACATATGCACCAGTAGCTAGGCTCACATCAATTAGAATATTATTTGCATTGGCATCTTTATATAATTTGCATGTGCATCAAATGGATGTGAAAACAACATTTTTAAATGGTGATTTAGATGAAGAAGTCTATATGGAACAACCATAAGGGTTTGTTCTCCCTGGGAATGAAAAGAAGGTTTGTAAATTAGTAAAGTCATTATATGGATTGAAGCAAGCACCAAAACAATGGCATGAAAAGTTTGATTTTGTCATTTTATCATATGGATTTAGACATAACAGTGCTGATAAATGCATATACTCTAAATTCACAAATGATTATGGTGTTGTTATATGTTTATATGTCGACGACTTGCTAATTTTTGGTACAAACATGAAAGGTGTATCTGAAACTAAAGAGTATCTAAATTCAAAATTCAAGATAAAGGATTTGAATGAAGTAGATACTATCTTGGGAATTAAAGTAAAAAAGCATAGTGGGGGTTACGCTTTGTGTCAGTCACATTATTTAGAAAAATTGCTTCTTAAGTTTAAGCATCTACAAATAAAAGAAGCAAATATCCCTTATGACCATAGTGAAACTTTGCTTAATAATTATGGTAGGTCTGTTGCACAGCTTGAGTATGCTAGTGTAATCGGAAATTTAATGTATGCCATGCATTGTACCAGGCCAGATATCGCATTTGCAGTAAGCAAACTTTCTAGATACACTAGTCATCCAGGTACTGCTCATTGGAAAGCAATAAATAGAATTTTTTGTTATCTTAAAAGAACTATTAACCTGAGTTTAACTTACTCTGAGTTTCCAGCAGTACTTGAAGGATATTCAGATGCAAGTTGGATAACAAGTGCTAATGATAATAAGTCTACATTAGGGTGGATTTTTACAATTGTTGGAGGAGCAATTTCTTGGGTTTCGAAGAAGCAAACATGTATAGCACATTCAACTATGGAATCTGAATTTATAGCATTAGCAGCAGCAGGTAAAGAAGCAGAATGGATTAGAAATTTGTTATTGGAAATAGAGTTGTGGCCACAACCAATGCCATCCATTTCTTTATACTGTGATAGTGAGGCTACTTTGTCTAGAGCATACAATAAGGTATACAATGGAAAATCTAGACATATTAGCTTGAGACATGAATATGTCAAGCAATTAATAACTGATGGAGTTATTAATATTGTTTATGTTAAATCAAGTAATAACTTGGCGGATCCGTTAACAAAAGCACTTTCAAGAGCTTTGGTAGTTAGTACATCTAGTGGAATGGGGCTAAAACCCTTTCCTGAAAATTAGCCACCAATAATGGTAACCCGACTTTGTCTAGAACATCACTAGTTTAAAAGTTTAATGGGTAATAACAAGTTATTGTTAAGTGGTTGTGTAAGCACTGAAAATTATTATATAGCTCATTCCAGGATGATCAGTGCAAGACTGCTACGTTTAGGAGGATGAGTTTTAACTCTTAATGAGGTTATTTGTAGTTATGTCTATAGTAGCAGGGACATGGGAAGGAACCTCACCTATATGAACATAAGAAGTGGTGCCGCTTCTACCAAGAGTTGGGTTTTCTCTTGTAAATGTTTATGAAACCAGGATGAAGCACAAGGCCATAATAGTGCTTAATTAGTTCAGAAATTTCTTTAAGGAAATAAGACATAATCATGTGTGTAGTGATTCCGGTTTTAACATAAGAATAGGTGGTTTAAACTTAGGTCACCATCGCATTCGTTATAACTTTGAATCACTTACACTAATTAAAGGTTTAATTCGAAAGACCCCTTTATTGTATGCATGATTATATCGGTATGCTTGTGATAATTATATCGGTATGCATGATTATATCGGTATGCTTGTGATTATACCGATGATAAAAAATCCATCAAAGAACGGACATCCTTCACAAAATTATAAATCAAGCTGACCTCTGGTGAAATGTATTCATGGACACCAATTGCAGCAAGAAGCTTTGGCCCCAAGGAATTTCGGGCACCGATTGTGTCACAACTTCCACCAACTGATTTGGTCAATTTTTTATCAGCTTAATTTTTGGATTATGGAAAGCTCCTCTACTGCCTCAAATTGATGACGAAAAGAAAAGGGTTGAAGGGCTTCTTTTTAAAGAACTAAAAGAATGCAGAAGAACAGAAGACTATATATATTGTGAGTTCTAACCACTATTGGTCATTGAAACAAGTATTCAGGGTAGAAGGATTTTCCATTAATTACATAAGCTGTAGGGAAGTTGCCAGGAAGGTTTTCTTCACAACTCATATATAGCAACAAAGTGAAGTTGTAATATAATGTTAACGAGATGCAGTTGCGTCAATGATAAGTGTTAAATCATTCAACAAATATTCTAGTTTTCATTATCCAGACCACAGAAAAAAAAAAGGATAAAAAAATGGGGAGGTGTGCAAAATGAACACACTTTTTCGAAATGTAGTATTGCATAACAACTTGAATCAAAAGTTCAATGAGAGTTGATCAAGAATCTTTCATAAACCTATTTCAACGTCATTTGGTAAGAATTTTGAGAAATACGATATGGCAAAATTTTCATCTTTCTCAACTTAGATCCATAAACAATAAAGAGGACACGTATGATTGTTACAAGGTAGATCGCGATCATACAAGTAGAAATGGGACTAGCAATATAAGTTTTTACGACAATTAGCATGACACATCAATATGCGGTGAAGTTGCAATAACGGAACGTAATGCACAGGCAAGGGCCAAACAAATATAAAATTGGTCTATATTACTTATGATGTTTCACGAAGTTTTCTAAATTGGCGTGGTAGTTGTTTTTATTAATATTGTTCATTCCTCAATCATGAAGAAAATGTTTTACAACTCATAGCAGCAAAGTGAAGTTGTAATAAGGCATCAAAGAAAATATATCGAAATTTTGTTCCAACTCATAAAAGATCCCACACATTTAATAGCCCTAGAAAAGTTCAATTATTTGCTTAAGATACAGCAGAAGGAGGTGGGACAAAAGTTACGATTGTACAATGATTAAATACTCGGTTAGCCCTGGCTTGAATGGCAGTTCTGTTCCCGGTGTGTTCATAAGTAAAAGTGCTATTCACAAAAACATTATGGCAATGTCTTCCCAACACCACAAGAGCTTGACAACTACCGTCACCAATTTTCTGTCCTTTGAAAATATAGTTGTACACGTCGAATGCATACTTTATGCTGAAATGTTTTTTGCACTTAACCACAGCCGGAGAGTCATCCAAATGCGACAACGTTGGAAGTACGCAACTCACCAAAAGAAAAATGACTACAATTGGAAACATGTTTAGTCTGGTCATAATGGTGGAAAGAACAAGTAACTTTTGATTTTCTCAGAAAATGCTTTCTTAGATGCAAATAAACTTTAACGCAAGGAGTTATATACTTATTTAGGGATGAGGCTAAGGGATGAGGCAAAGATGTAAGTCATTAGTGAAATGAAAAACGCATTTTCCTTTAAAACTACCTTAGCAACGTATTTACTAATGTAAGGTATCAAATATGAGAGTTTCTAAATTTGGTACGATAAAAGCAACTTACAAGTTTCAATAAATTGTTTAAATCTCAACAGTCACATAACTATTTATTATTTGCACAAATATTACTTCTTTGCAAATTAATTGATTGACTATTTTATTACAATAGAGTTGCAAAAACCGTGACCTGAACTTGAATGTTGTGTTCACGACTATCATAGATGTTCGAATACCATTGCATGAAAAAGAGACGACAAAAAAAAAAAAAAAAAAAACACGATTAATATGTAAAATTTAAAATTTAAGATTTTCTTAGGTTTTTGCTCTTCCGGGAAGGAAGGCAGCGGCCTTGCATGCATTTTAATATGTAAATTAGACTATGGAAATTTGGTTGATAGTTGGACGTGGAAGTCGAAATATATGAGGATGGTTTTAAGCTAGATAATTGCAGGGATATTCATTTTGAATAAATCAAGATGCTGAGCCTAAATCGATAAACATTTTAATTAAATAAAACTAGATATCCAGTGGACTAGAAAACAAAGCAAGCTAGCAGTTGCAAGTTGGGAAGGTGGCAAATGATAATTTCTCTTGCACTTAATTAAGTTAATTGTTTTGGTTAAGCAATCCCAACATCGCATCACTTTTTCTCGTCGGTGCAATTAAACGAGTTCCCTCTCTCTTAACCGTGATTGGTATGTGATTTATGTATTCGAGTAATATGGAGTTGTTGATTAGTGAATTTGTGTGTCTCATGAAAAATTTAATTACAACATGAATGTCATTTTGGCAATATCTCAAACCCTAATACACTATTAAGCGTTTTAATTTTTATATATAAGTGCATGATTGTGATAGGGTCACAATAACCTTCCGTTAAATGAAAATCCTTCTCCATTTCATCTTTCAGGATGTACACCAATCAATTATGAGTCATTCACACTGACAACTTGATCGACAAATATTCTCTCTAAGAAGCACGCTTACTAATATAATGGTGAGGAAACCAACACCTATATTTGATAACAAACAAAAGTTTTATACACAAGATACTCCAAAATCTCTATTTTGTATTTTTTTTCAACACTTCAAAATAAATTAAAACAAGGATCCTCGATGAATCCCAACTCCAATCAAATCCAACTTTAACCTATACCGTATTACAAAAGGAAAATTACTAACCCAAATACGTGCGTATTCATATGTAAGTCCCAAAGAAGCTAAGTGATAACAATTATATTTTCTTCACGAAAGATATGTCGAATTGAGAGTGATAATATCTGATCCATTAATAGTTACAAACCCATTTCTTACTTAGAAAGCGTTTTCACAATGTTGAAAGTATCATACTTGAAGCCTTGGCGTGGAATGATCTTAATGTACGAATAAAATGTCACGCAAGCAACAATGGGACCAACCCAAAATACCCAATGCCCGTTCCAGAGGCGGCCTCCGCGAATAAGTGCGGGGCCGAAACATCTAGCAGGGTTCATCCCTACTCCGGCATACCCCTTTGCGGCGGTAACGGTGGTTGAGATAAAAACAAGGAGGCCCGCAACTATCCCGACGATAGAGAAGACTACAACTCGGCCCAAAGCATGGGCTTGGCGGTGGTCAAATGCTATCCAAATTGAAGCAAAGAGAAACACAAACGTGCAAATTATCTCAAGCCAAAGGGCTTGGGTGGTCTCAATGCCCATTATGATCGGCCCTTGTGGGCCTGGGGCAATGACACTGAGGGTGCAACCTCCAAGTGAAAATGTTCCTTCAATGCTGTTGTCTACCACTGCCTTGAGTGCTAGGGCACCTAGTACCGCCCCGACGCATTGGCTAAAGATGTAGACGACAGCGCGTGAGAGGGAGATGAGGCCGAGAAGTGCCGCGGATAAGGTTACAACGGGGTTGATGTGACCACCGGAAATGGGATTGGTGGCGAGGAGAAGAATTGCGACTGTGATGGAAATGAGGATTGCCATGATGAGGTTTGGTACGGTGGTTTTGGTCTCATAGGAGGAGATCACTATTGTGTCTATAGCAAAAACAAGCACTGCCGTGCCAACTAGCTCTGCCAGTGATGCTCTCCAAATCTGCCAATTAGGTGAAAACTTAACAAATTTAACCTAAAATATGACAGAATTAATTTAACCTAAAATATGAGGAGGGAAGTTCGAATTTGAGTTCAGAGGAGAGTACACTACTGTAGCTAACTTGTTAACGTTCAGGTGTGTTAAGATCATTGTTCCAAAAATCTCCGCCTAGTGCCACTTAGGTGTTAAACGGCTGGCTACCGTCCTGATTAATCCCAAGGAGTTTGAAAATTAAGAAATAACACTTAGACTTACTTAGGCGCCCGCCTAGGTCGCGACTCTCACTTACATAGAAAATATATAGCTTTCTTTTGTATTGTATTGTTTTAATAAATTGTAAAATAGACTTGTTGGATACTTGGAGTATCACTCATTATATGATTGTCCCAATGAAGGTTCTAAAAAGCGCTAGCGGCTTGTTAGGCGGCGAGCAGAGGATTAGTGCTTAGGCGTCTAGACGGGGGCCTAGCCCATTTTTTAGCTTTAATAAAATTTCTTATATAACATATAAATAAATTTCTACTTATACTTAAAAAAAATTAATTAAATGTATTGGGATATAAAAATTGCAAAATAGAATGACATATAAAATATAAAGTATTATAACGTATTCAAAACATGAGGAACAATCATATAATGAGTGTTCATCTAAGTATTCTACAAGTCTCTTGCCATTGAAATTATCTATTTTTTGTCTACGTGAGAGTTGTGACCTAGGTTGGTTCCTAGACGGTCTAGGCAGGCTCCTAGGCAAGTCTAGGCGAACGCCTAGGTAGGTCTATACACTCTTTCTTAATTTTCAAATGCCTAGGGATTAATCGGGGCAGTGGCTAACCATCTAGCACCAAGCTAGGTCCTAATCGGTGCTAGGTAGAGATTTTTAGAATAGTGATACAAATACAATTATGTATTTTTTTTAAAAAGTATAAGTAGACATTTATTTATATGTAATAAAATAAATTTAATTAAAACCAAAAAAACTGCCGAGGTCCTCGCAAGACTAATGTTTAGCGCTTTTTAGAAGCTTGATTAAGATGCACCCCTTTAATGGTAGGTTACACCTATTTGTGACTTTGAATCCACTGATACATGTTGTAAGAACCATTTAATTAATGGGAATTTTAACGAAAAACTCTTGGTACTGTTTACTTCAACGAAAAACAACATTTTTACACTAAAAAGTCAATCATGGTATTATTCACTTTACCCTTTATTTTGTCATTATCGTTAAAACTCAAAGTTTTCAAACCATTTTCATTAGTTTTCCTTTAATTATATAGCTAATCCAATCTTATAAGTTAATTAGGAACATGAATTCAATAAACTTATATACGTTGCACTTAAATTGCTTAATCATTTCCTATGAAGTGTTCACTATGTAAATATTAATTCCAAATATATGCTAACCTTCAAAGAAAATAACTCGTGGAAGCCCAACTTTTGACCCAAAGTGAAAGGACTGAGCTTATTCCCTTCTTCTATATTCCAGTGCTCTGACCTACAAAAACCATTTGCAGAAGAAACCATAGCACACTAATTAATTGTTCTAATTTTATTTTTTTTGCAAAATTTTATTCTAAAATATTCTATTATATGAAAATGAAAATTCGAAATCGGGTGCAATGACGATAGATACACACTGCCATGACCAACTGGCATAACTCATAGATATACACTGTCGTGACCAACTGTCGTAGCTCATATGCTGAAATTAGAGAATTAGAAGAGAAAGAAAAAGAAATTGTTGGGGAGAATGTGGTACTTGCATTGGTGAGGAAGAACAGGGATGAACTCTCTCATCTTCTGCAACTGGCATATTTTGCTCCATTTTTTTATAGGATTGAAATAATTATAGAGTTTGAGAGTTCAGAAAGTGTATGGAGATATATATAGTCAGTTTGGAGATGTGTGTGATTGGGCAGGCAAACAAAAATATCTGTTAGAAATAAAAAAACAAAAACTTTTTTAATATCAATCTACCATTAAATTTTTGAACCAGACTTCCGGCCCGCGGGTTACTACACCCTACATATTTATTATCTGATGTACACTACTTTCTAATGCCAAACTTATTATTAATACCCTACCCAAAAATTTATTATGCTTTCCCTTTTAGGGAAAATATAAGCAAAAAATGAGTGCATAATATATTATTATATTGTGAAGTGTTAATAATTATCTCCGTTTATATGAATTTGAAGTTCATATATGATGTTTTGTTATATTTATTAGGCAGCCCACACTCTTGTCAAGTGTATTCATTGATTTTTTTGGATTCTTTCGATCTGACAATAAAAAATTAAAAGATCTGTATGAGAAGTAAAAATAGGCGAGGGAGTAGTACCACACTTGGACAAACTCTTAACAATGAGACATAAATGTCTAAATAAGCTGAAGTTGTTAGAAATTATATTTATAATACTTAATATTATAATGTACATATTTTAATATTTGAATGAAAAATAGTTGTAATCGTTTCTCATCAAACGGCAAACTTTGTTTGAATCAATTGGTGCCACCGTTACCAGAGTGGCACTACAGTGTAGAGCATTTCCGTGATATTCTTTAAAATAATCAAAATGTTACAGTTTTATTAGATTATGAATGTGATTATGTAAATTCTAGTGCATCTATGGATATCTTGGAATATTCTCTAGGTTAGATATTATCATATTAGAGTTGTAATCCTATTAGGGTAAGAATTTAACCTTCCATACAATGGGATGATATAACACACACCTCACAAACAAATATCTCTCTTCTCCCTGTGACGGCCCCCTCACTCTAGCCCTAAATACAGTTCAATAAATTAGGCCTACAACACATTATCAGCACGCTCTTGCTACAAGCTAAGGAACTGAACGATCATGAATGGGGCTCTTCTACAACATCAAGGGCTCAGTTATTTCTACCAATCAGGTCATTTTAAAATAAATTAAGATATTTGAAACGACCTTGAAGCATTAAAAAATTTCACACAATGCATGAACTCCTTATATTTATATTTTCCTTTCAATTATATATATTGCATATGATTTTCATATATTTTGTCAATATATATATTTGTTCATGCAATACGCAATTATGCTCTATGGAATTTGTGAGTTAAAGCATTGAAATTAATTTAGAAGCAATTAGGGTTTTTAACCTTAAAATTTGAAAAAACAAAAAAAAACAAAATCTGGGATTTTTCACGGTTGAGCCGCAGCTCTAACGCCTTGCTGCTGAGCTGAGCTAGCTAGCCTGAAGCCATGCCATAGCTAGGATGGCGTCGTTTCGATGCCATGCACAGCAACCAGGCCTTGGCTTGGGTTGGATTCTGCACGGGCCTGAAGCCCTAAGTCCACCAGCAGGCTTGTAAGCCTTGTTGGGCTCTGCCTTTGCCTTGGCCCATCACGTCAGCGAGCTTTCCTTGCTAGGCTTTGCCCGCGTAGACCTGGCCCACTTGTAGCAAGCCCTTGCTTGCTGGGCTCGCCATCTGTCTTGGCCCACAACCGTATAAGCCAGCTGTTGTGGCTGGGCCTATCCCCCGTGCCATTTTTTGGCCCAAACTAGTAGCTTGAGTTGCTGGGCTTCATCGCAGATACGGCTTGTGGCCTGCAGCCATACTTAGGCCTTTGGGGCTTGTCCCGTACGCAGCAGCCAGCCTACTATGCTGGGCTACGTTTTTTTTCCAAACTTAATGCCATGTTTTTGGCATCCTCGCTTCATAACCATACTCCTAGAATTTTTGGGACGTTATTAGTTAATGCTTATCAAGCTATAATTTTATTGTTGCCTAGCCCGAAGCCAAAATTCAAGCTAAGATTAATCCGAATGTTATTATTTTGCTCTTACGATCAAACCTAGATGGTTACTATCTATTGAATTAACTAAAGTGACCAGCAGTCCATTAATCTAACAATACATCCAAAATTATTGGCCTGAATCCCACTTTTTGGCAATTAACGATTCAATAAATTATTCCTTTTCTTTGAACCGTTGACTATTTTCCGTAGTCCTAATGCACTCACACTTAGGTTCTTGAAGCAATCCACAAATTCACTACACTTGGTCATATATTGTATTCTATGTTCTTGCAGGTACCTCTATATATCAACCAGAAGTACATAACTAAATCGAACTTGTAGTCTCGAATTTAGCGCCTTTGAAACCCAAAGTGTTCATTCAAAACTTACCACATGAAACCTGTAGCTTTCATGTTTAAATTAAACCAATACATGTCTATAGAACCTGAATGTTCTACAATGTATGTCTATGGTTTTCCATAGGACTAACCATGTTTTTGTTGTACCCTTTGTTTTAGGGACATGTCGAACTTGAATAAGCTTGATTTCACCGCTTTAGAAGTATCTGGAAGAAACTACCTAAAGTGGGTTCAAGATGTGAAGCTTCATCTTACTGCAAAGAGTCTTCAAGCTACTATCGAGCAACCTATCGACGACCTGATCGACGAAGCTCAAAAAGTTATTGCTGTGATTTTCATCTGAAGACACATCCATGATGCACTGCAGACCAAGTACTTCGCAGAGGAGAACCCACGTACCCTCTAGCTCGCTCTGGCTGATCGTTTCGATAACTAGAAAGACATTTATTTGCCTAAAACAAGACACGACTGGTAGTATTTACACTTCCAAGACTTTAAGTCTGTGAATGAATACAACTCTGAAGTTTGTAGAATTTGATCATTGCTTAAGTTATGTAAATAGGACTTAATCGAACAGGATCTCCTGGTGAAGACCTATTTGACCTCAATGCCACCAATATTGTCATGCAATAACAATATAGGGGCACATAAGTTCATCAAATTTTTGGATTTGATCTCTGTTTTACTTTCACTGAAAAGTAGAACCAGCTTTTGATGAAGAATCATCAAGCTCGACCCACTGACTTGAACGCTCCGCCTGATGCGCATGCGACTAATTCTAACAAGCACAACTGAAACCCTATCGTGGCCATGGAAATGGGTGGCAAGCCCACCCACAGGCCTAAGGTCAACAGAGCAGAAGCCTAGCCTGAAGGAAATTTTGTGAAAAACATGTTCATTTGAGCAACATCTATAGCATGCAATTAACAAATTTAAAGGCGGAATCATGCTTGTATGCACTCAAAAACAAAACATTACCCATGAAATTCAAAGCCTAGTAGATTGGTGAACCTTGACTCAACTTAAAACAACATTTGTTAGTTGAGAAATTATACCTTTGTAGATTCCTCTTTGCATAAGCAAAGGCTAATCACCCAAAGAGAGGGCCTTCATTCCTTGCATCTTAGATCTATGGATTTGGATGGATGAAATGGTTCTCCAAGTTCCCAAAATTGAGAACCTCTAAGTCTCTTCACCAAGGTTAGATTGGAGAAGAAATGAGTGACCTTGGAGTAGTAGGATTGCTAGCTAAACCCTCCAAGGAGGTCGGCCACTTTAGAGAGAAAGGAGAGCTTATGTTCTCATTCTTTCCCCAAAAGAAAACCTTAAATGAATTTTGGCTATAAAGTCATATTTATACCTTAATTCATTGGAGTGGCAAACTTGTAAATAAGTCCAAAACTCACTCCATCTCTAAATGGCCGGCCTTAGGGTATTATTGGGCTGATTGGGCCTTCGTGAATCATTATTCATTAAGTTGTCATACAACTTAAGTCAATGAGCTTGACGTTCGAAGCCCATTGGGCCTTAAGGTCCAAAACTATCCTGAGGTCTTTAACGAACTTATTCATTTGATTAATTAACATATTAATTAATCCTTGCCATAAATAATTAAACCATTTAATTATTCTTACTCATCTCCATTGTTTCTTCAATCTCCACCTTACACGGTGTACGATCCATTAGGTTCCTTTTAGCGAGGCAGTGGGCGATTAAAACCATTTTAAATCGATTGTGAATTGAAACTTAGTTTCAATTCTCCCTTTAGTGATTATACACGTTTAGGGCTTCCACAAACCATGAGTGACACCTAGCAGCATATCATGGTTACCCAAGCTAATCAGAAGAGGTGGAGAACCTATTCAGTTTAGGATTACAAATGCAATACGGTCTTTCTCTAATACAATACTCTTGACCACATTGTTTGGTTTAATAGTTTATTCATGTCTACTATCCAATGTGATTCGTGTGCTTATATGATTACCTTGAATGTGATTTGGAACGACTTCCTAAATCTTATTCATACTCTGGCCAGAGATTCTTAATCATATCATAGAGTATTCTCCCCCAAACGGTTTGAAGGTTAGAGATCCCTTGTTGCGCATTCACTTGCCTCTATGGCTAAGTGGCTTAACCCCGACGATGCCGTGGACACCCGCGGATGGGGTGACTTTGACATAATCAAAGATCAAGTACCTAACCACAAGACAACTATGATGCCTCAGGTCAAAAGACTACTTTGCATTATCCCAACCATGAGTTCTCATGTGACATGAATATGAGAACTCTTTGTTGATCGTGTTCAGTGAACTCATTCTCTATTAAGCACCTACGTAGTTGTCTTGATGTTACACACACCAATGACTCAAGACTAGTCACTCTCCCTGAGAGAAGACACAGCACGTACTGATCTTAACGGACTGTCAATGCCCAATTGGCAATCTTATGATCAGGAACGTTTAGGATGTGTCTACGAAAGAATGGTCTCATGAATCTAACTTCTTTAGATCGCATTCTCCCAATCACATATTCCTTGGACTTATCGTTTAAGCGTATAACATTTATATGAGACGGCTCAAACAATAATCTTTGCCCTTGATATTAAACTAGATTAGTTTAACATGTGAAATGTCCGTAAAGTATCATCATATGATTGGTTTTAGGGCACATTTCCAACAATCTCCCACTTGCACTAGAGCCAATCAGCTTGGTCATCAGTGATGATACCTCTTCTGTAGTCATTTCATAAATGGCTGAGTAGT